GACCGGATCGGGAGGAAAGGCACATCCGAGGCTACATATTTTGTGGGAGTCGATATTAGGGTTCTTCAGATCCCTACCAAGACGCTTGTTCAGCCAGGAGTGCTATAGCGACCAGAAGTGAATTACACCACAGTAACGGGCAGCAGCGAGGAGCACGCCTCCGTTAAGCCATCCCTCGCCTCCGTAAAGCCATCCCTCTCGGAGCCCCTCCGGTGGGACATGAATAGGGATGAGGTCAGAGCTCCGGCTTTAACTCCTTGCGCTTCCAGACAAGGCGGCAGCCTTTGCCAGGCCCCCACATCCCCCAGCAGCGCTAACGAGGGCAGCTGGCAGCGGGCACGGTCACCAAGGGGACACCTGGAAGTGCAAATCAGGCCCCAGCAAGTCACAGAGAATACATTTAATCAACATTTCAAATCAGTATTTCAATATTTAATCAATATTTCAAAGTGCTACATGTAAAAGCCCAAATGACTTTGAGAGTCTCAGGCAGAAATCACTCCTTGAGAGGCAAGCAGGCACAGATTTCATTAATACTTCCTGAAATAAAAAGGATGGAGGCTTAGCCAGCCAAGCCATTTAAATAGGCAAGAAACCTATTTTTCAGTCATTAGTTTACTAAGAACTCAGATTGGATTTCCTTAATAGGAGGTCAAGTGTCTAGAAAACTGGCATGCACAACACTTCAAAAAAAAACAAAGGAAAAAATTAGATGGCAACTTTTCACACCTTAAAATAACGTTTTTTTTCCTTTTTAAAACACTCATAGTCTAAACACCATTCTGTATTGTTCTCCAAGTCTTAAAGAAAAACCTACTCTTTGCTGTCAATACAAGCTTAGCCCCATTCAGCCTTAATTAATTCTCCTGGACAAGAGTACCACAGGGAAGTAACAGAAAAGGAAGTGCTAGAGAAATGGGCCAACCTTCCTGAAATCCATGGCCAAACTCTGCCCGACTTAACCCGAAACCCCGGGATGTCCTTTGGGCTGGCCACTGAAACGCCACTGCTGCAACCACAGGTATGGCCCCATCGCCCAATGTCTTTAACCCAACAGGTCCAAAACCGAAGCGCTAGCAAAGATTCCCAGATTACTTGGTCTCCCTGAGACACCCTTCACCTTACAACTAACTTCAACCACTGGCACATGCCAGCCCACCCCTTTGGTTGCATGGGCTTGAGTTGGTTTTATTTCCAGCTGCCCCCATCTCTGGGGTTACTGGAAGAGGGAAACGCAGGGAAATGTGTCCGTGCCTCAGCTGCTCCATTTCACCCTCTAACATCCGTGTGTAAAATCACTCTTGCTGGTAATTTGAAGGAAGATGGTGGGTGGTGTGTGCCTGGTGCAGCTGGAGAGCAGAGCTACCCCCTCCTTCGGTGAGTCAGGTTATGCAATTTCCAAAGATACATTTTCTAACAAGCTCTTATTTCCCCTCTCCCTCCCCCCCCTCTTTTTTTTAATCTGTGACAGATTGATTTAGGAGAGAAATAAACGGTCTAAATCATGTTGAACTGTGGAGGCAAAAGGAGGAGCAAAGGAGAAAAAGCAACCCAGCCCCCCAGACGGGCTGTTTATAGCTGCTCGCAGCTGAGAGCTTATAATGGGGTCAGAGCAAGTATTCCCAGAGTGAAATCTCGGCTGGTTAGGTTTGTGCAAGTCTTTTTTTTTTTTCCCCCTTAAACAAGTTTCCAGACCTCCTGATTACAAAAATAACCTTTCTGCCTCTGCATAGGAACAATTTTTCACAAGAAAGAAGCTTCAAAATCTTTAAAGATACAATAAAGAAAGAAGAAAAAAATAAAGCATGTTCTTCAGAAATCAGGTTTCCAGCACTGCAGATGGCACAAGCGGAATGGTACCTGAGTTTGGGAGAATCACATGGGAGATCTGCTTGTAATTCCATGCATCAATTTCACATATTACTAAAGCACTGTGATTTTTTTTTCCAAACCTTTTGACCAATACAAATCCAAAGATTATTCACAGATATAACTAGTTACCAGAGAGGACACAGGACAGGGAGGCTTCATTATTAAAACAGGGGGACGAGCAGGCTGGCTAGCCCAGTCTGGGGAAGAGCAACACAGAAACCTGAACCAGAAGGAGCCCACAATACCTTCTAGCTCTGTGATGCCCAGCACACACCCCACACGCTCTGCCTTCCTGGGGAAGGAAGGGAGCAACAACCCACGGATGGAGGATGCTCAGCCCCGATCCCAGAGCCACGCACAAGCTAGTAGACAAGAAAATAACTTGCGTGTGCCAGGACTGAAGTCTATCCCTGCAAATAAAAAGCCAGCCCGACTGCTAGCTCTGCTGCTTTTTAAAACACCCAGCAAACCTGGTCTGCTATGACAGGGAAATAAATGGTACTGATTCCCCAGCGGGCTCCAAAAGTTCCTACAAGATTGCAAACCTCTTAGTTTTTAATAACATCTTCCACCAAACTTTTTATTAACTCTGAAAGAAGATGTCAAACATCAATCATTAGACACACAGAGTCAAAAAAAAAAGAAGAATTTGTGCCAGTCACCACGCTATTCTTTCTGCTTCAGTAGCAACTTCAATCTATTTCCCATAACGTGTTTTTTTTCCTTTAGTATCCACACACTGTTAATGACTTTACAAATCAATACTCTAGCCATCAGCACAAGTAAGCCACAAACTACTCCCTGTCGAAAGACGAGTCAAAATCCCAAGTTCAAATCAGTCCCTGTCTGGTGAGAGGATCAAGGAAATTGATCTCTTCTCACTGGAATATCTTCTATTAGTTTCTCAAAAAAATTCTTGTGTTCCCAAGCCTCTTCAGTCATTCTCATTTTTCTTATCTTGTGTTCCCGAGCCTCTTCAGTCATTCTCATTTTTCTTCATTAATTCTACATCAACAGAACTTCATAAATGCAATTTAAAAAAAAAGAAAAAATACTTCACAAAGATACATAAATCTTTATTTTATAAACAACTGCAGTCAAAACAAATATTTTAAAAGGTGTAGGAAATTTCACATTTAGACACAGGCACCATGAAAACATAAAATGCTAGATGTGAAGAGCTAAACAAAGGAATACATTCTGAGACACTGAGATACTATGCCTCAAGTCTCATTCCCCTTCAAAGTATTGGGGGCAATTTATAAGCCCCTGGAAATCAGCTCCTGGTCTTAAAAATCAAAATATCAGTTTCGTTATTTAAATAACAATCTGTGTAATATTTCTGCCACCCTGGTCTTATTTATCCTTTAAGACCATAACGTGCCTCCGGACTACTGTAAAGGGTAGCATGGGAGGCATATTCTAGTGCAGCTCTTGATGTGCAACTCTCCATGGCATGCTAGCAATGGGATTACACCTTGCTAAAGGTAAATTCCAGTTGAGAAACCATTTAATTTCCAGGTTGACAAAAGTATTCTTAAACATGTTACATCAGTCTCTCATGCCGCAACAGTAACTCTCTCTCCCTGCTTTTTTTAATAGGCTGTTTTTCTTTGTTAGTTTTGCCCCTATATCTCATATTTACAGCTCAGTTTTTCATGTAGTATCATGAACTGGGCAATTCAATAAAAAGCAAGACTTCATCGAAATTCCCAGTTTTCTATCACAACTAGTTCCTGAATAGAAGAATGAATTCCAAGGAGGCAATGAGAAAATGCATTTATTTCTCCTCTGTAAAGTTGCCAATTCTCTCCCTTGGCACAGTTATTATGTCTATGAATTATTAAAATTCTTTGTTTAAATCCTGGATTCCCCTAACTATGAAGCACATTTTAGAAAGTAAACCTTGATTAACCAAGATAAACACACATCAATGTTTAACAAAACTACCTGTTCGCTGCTACTTTTCATTGAATTCAAGTTTATTTTAATCAGTCATTTAATGATAACACGTACAATTAAAAAAAAAATGCTAAGGAGTCTAATTCTATTTATGAAGAAGCTTGGGCTATGAATTGTTTAGTCACTTTAAATAATTCTTCCCAACCACCCTTCCAAGTCTTCTGTTTGCAAAAACAGAACTGTAATTTGAAGTCCACGCAGCGGTTCTTCCAGTGCTGCATGTTGAATCAACACTTGAAGTTTCCAACTGATGTCCAAAATAGCTACACGCTGTTTTGCTATAGGTGTTACGCTGTTGGCAAGTATTCCTCCCAACTCTGCTTATGTTTTGCAGTTTGAGGCTTTAATCATTTTGCAAGATTTCACTCACAGGGATGTTCTTGCATTTCCTTCTTCTCACTAAATGCCCTTGATACTTTAAATAAAAGAAAACCAAGGCAATCTGAGCTACCAAATAAACAGGCAAGTACAGCTAAAAAAACAAATAGGTATTTAGTTGTCTTTTATTCTCTCATTCTTGTTTTGTTTGCTAGAATGTAGGCTATATCTCTGCATGGAACTCCTTACTGGTCTTCTAACCAGAGCAAGCTTTATCTTTTTATTCCCTCCTTCCAAACAGTCTTTTTACATTCGCAGTCATTTTCATTACCCTTCTGATTTTTACAACAATATCCTCTTTGAAACAAAGCAATCAAAACAGAACATTGTATTTAAGAATACGGAAACCGTTTATTCCTATGCTCACATGACGTGAG